TTTCCACACTAGAAGCATATAAGCAAATACTGTTCTGCAGTTATTTGTGACTGACATCCTCACAGGGCAGCTAGGATTGTGGCAGTGATCCAGAATAGGATCAAGCTTTAACATTTATGAAAATATACTAAGGGGTCAAAACAGCAGTGTCTAAGCAATTGTGGTTCATTTCACATGCAAGGATTGAGTTTCCATATGTGAGTAATTTTCTATTATTACAAAAAGTATTGTGTGATAGGCACTGTGTTTTGTTTTTTCTTAAAACATCCATTCTGGTACATTATAATTTCAGTGTGCAGCTACTTGCTTACCAGAAGGCACATGCACAAAGCACACCTCATAATTGAATGCATCTTGCTCCTGTTCTTTTCCATAAAGAATAGAATGAAAATTTTATCTAAAAATCAGTTAAAAATATGAAAAGCTAGAATCAAAGCTGTGATGCTGTCTCAATAGATGCAGAATAGTACTTTAATACCTATTTTAAATGAGTAGAAATAAGGTGGAAAATTCTGTTTGAAATACCTTTTTTTTTTCTTAATGTGGGTTAATATCTTAACCTAAACCTTATCGATGTAGGCTTTCCAATGCTTCCTGCTTTATAAAATTATGTTCCATTGCAAATCATTCCCCTGTAGTTTAACTGTACTATCTAATGTACAGTTACTATCTATATGTACTATCTCATGGCAGGGATAAGTTCACATAGAATTATATTCTATTTTTTTTTAATTTCAGATATCCTGGGTAAGGAGGCAAGAGGCTAAGGCATGTATTTGCTCTCACTGAAAAGTATTGCACTGCTATTTTACTGGAAAAGGAAGGGGAGGAAGGGTCACATGGTGTATTGCCGTTTGGGAGACTGAAAAGCAAAGAAAGCCTCTGAAGCACAAGGTGTTAAAATCAAAAGCAGGAAGTCACTGCCTGAAGTAACAAAATAAGGGCTGAAATCAACAAGGTGTATAATTTACACCTCCTCAAGGGCTGTGTTTAGTTGTCCTAGGCTTTGACATCTGCCTGACGTTAGGAGTCCAGCCCATGGTGGTGGTCAGTTACCCTTAGGCGGTTGGATTTTCTGTCCTTGCTACAGCATCAAGCCATTGTCCTGCTCTCTGTAGTTCTCTGACTTCAGGATGTAGCATATTTTCTGTATTTCACAGAAGGTTCATTTGGGAATCTTACAATACTTTCCTGAGTTGCTTTTAGGTTTCAGACAGTGGTAGTGAGCCTGTCCTCTCTCAGGAATTCAGCTGCCAACTTTGTTTTTTTGATATACAGCATCAGAGCAGCAATTCATTCTCCCATGGTTTTACCTTCCTTAGCAAACACCAAGCATTTAAAAACATTTTTTTGTTTCATGTTTTCTACCAAAAGCATATTTCAGCTTCACTGGGAAGTTCAGTCCCTTAAGCTGAGTTCATAGGATGGGAACATGTGGAGATGTGGGCCTCTGCTAGTCTGCTCTCACATGGCACATTAGCAAAAGGAAGAAGGATAGCAGATGAGGCAGTACCATGGAGACTAGAGGCTGTGCAAGTTGGTATCAAATGTGCCAAACAATTTTTCATTATGCTTCTACCTCCTTTTTTTTTTTTTTTTCCGTTCCTGTTCACACTCACCTCTCCTGGGCTGGGGCAGGAAGGTATGCTGTCAAACCACTCACCTCTGCCTGGTGCCCAGCTCAGAGTGCCCCACATGCACTTTCCTAATATGTGCTCCTGGGTCCCTCTCTGCTGCATCCACAGAGGCCCTCTTCTCTTCATGCCATCATGCCCCAGCTAAAGCCTTAACTCATTCCCTTCCAGCCCTCTGAAAGGCTTCAGATTTTCACTTTTGAATAATGGAGCAAAATAATCTTAATTTTTGAAGTATGTCAGCCCACTTCATTATCCAGCAGTATATGTAAATTGCCTACTTTTACATGCCAGACAGCTCAGTTCAAGCATCTATACAAGTAACTGAACTGCCAGGTGAAGGTCTGAGTTATCATTTTGCCTCACAGACATAGGCAAAGCAGCAGCTAACAGCCTCAGGCAGATAACTGTGCATGTGAGTGAATGTGTGAAACTTCTGAACTCTTGAGCAGAAGCTTGCTAACTGCTAGCTGCAACCACCACGGTCTGCTTGTAAATTTGGGGTAATACAGTCTAAGTGGAAGTGTCATGTCCTGAGTTCTCCAATTAAAAAAGAGACATGAGGCGAGGTCATCAATTAGGAACCTGATGGTGCATTTCATTCCTGATGGCAGTCTAGAAGGGGAAAGCAACAGCTTGGGTTCCAGAGAGAAAGCGGTCCTAAAAGAAAGTGGTCATGGAAAGGAGAAAGAGGGCTAGAAGGAGGATGGGATGATCCTGGAAGCAGGGACAGATCCTGAACCAGGCGTGCCCGTGCTGGGAGATGCCCTGGGACCTTAGCTGGATTTGCAAGCACCATGGCTAGTAGTGGTTGGTAATAGCAAAAAGCATCAGAGAAAGAACTAGCACCACTTTCTGCCCAGCCTCCTCACAGAGAAAGGCAGTCAAGACCTACCCAATGATACTCTGGCATTGCTCTCTAGCCAAGGAAAGGGATTGTGCTACTCTGCTCTGCGCTGTGCAGCCTCACCACAAGCACTGTGTGCAAGTCTGGGTGGCACAATATAAGAAGGACATAAAACTCTTAGAGGAACATACAAAGGAGGGCTACAAAGATGGGGAAGGGTCTCTTGAGGGCAAGAGGTATGAGGAGCAGCTGAGCTCGTGGTTTTTTGTGCATTTCTTTTTTCTCCCCTCTTTTCCAACATCTAGATAAGAACTTTAAATGTTGAAAATAAATTTTTGTACATGAGCTACGGGGTTGGAGTTAAGGCTGGGAGTGTTTATCAGTAATCTTAAAATAAGAAGACAAGAATTCACAACTACCTCCTAGAAGAAGCATTTTGCAGTCTGAAGTAAGTATGCATTTAACACTAGGTGTTAAGTCTGAACTAAACAGAGCTTGAAAATTTAAGCAGTTTCCAAGAGTTTCAACACTAACTTGTCACATGAGAAAGGAAAAATGATTTTCAAAAGTCACCTTGTTTGTCACCAGCAATGATAAGAGCTAACAGTAATTGTGGTGCTGCAGACTTTGGATGATGACTATAGGCAGAAGTGGAGCTGTTTGGACACAGAAACAGAGATGGAGTTTGCTTGGAGATAAAAAATAAATGTGACAAGGATGGGCATGCAGGTGTAGATGAGATTCCTGATTGCTGAGGAAAGATATCAGTAAGCACACAGCCAGTGCCACACAAATGAGGACTAGCTCTCTGTTAGTTTGGTTCAATAAATGTACACAACTGCTGAGCTGTGAACCTTTATTTGCATATACTAAATCCTAATAAAGCTCTCATTAGGCTTATTGAGCTTAAAGTCATGGGGGAGCATGTAAACAAAAGAGTACTTCCTTTCCCAGGTCTAAGGTTTATAACCATGCTGAGTTCCCATTTCTAGTAAGAAAAAAAGTAATGTAACATGTCAATGCCATTGATATTTAGGGACAACTTTCAGGTAGCTCCCTAAGATGTGTAGAGCCTCTTTACTGCGGCAGTTTTTAATTGTCTGTAGATGCACATTAAATCTGTTTGTGCTAGAGATGCTCGTTTGTCTAGCAATAATCTGAAGTTCACAAGTTTGAAATATTACTGGGAAATGTAGTAGCTTTAAAGCCAAAAATAACAAAAGTAACAAAATATGCTCATGGAAAGAGAGAAGAGAAAAAGTGTGGAAATAGGTTTTACTGCAAGATTTGTTACTGACTTGAGGCACACACACACATTTATTTAATCATTTAATTGTATCTGGAACAGCTGGAAAGAACTTAAAAATCCTGACATGTAGATAGCTTGTCTGTTGTTTTTTTTTCCCTCTCCATGTCTTACAAGAATGAATCCAGATTAATTTAACAGCAGTCAGACAGACCATGTGTCCCCTGTGTGGAGTTTTCTGGTGAGAGGACAGTGTGTCCTCCTTAGAGGATGCAGAGCTCTCACCTCTATCCTGCTCTCACAGCACCCCTGCCTCCTCCATCCTGCAGCCATACCACTTGCTTCTGTGAGCCTTGCGGAGTGACATGAGAGATATTTAAAAAAATAAAAAAGAGAGGTTCACATAAATAGTATATTGTCTGAAATAAGTAAGAGGTTGGAGGTTGGAAAGTTGGAAGTTTTCTAGTGCCATTTACACACGCCAAATTTCAGAACTTTTTGGGGGGAGCAGCAGAACTGTCTAACTAAAAAGGAGTAAGTCTCAGCCATAGACAAGTCTTAGTCTCCACTATGTTTGGGTCAGTAGCAGCCTGCACATGATAGGTCTTTTTCCTGATTTTTGTTTATGATCTCTTCTGTATCATTCTTGCAAATGATACAGAAAATGCTTTGTCTAAAACAACTGAAGTATTACGTGGATGTAACATGAAATAGTTAGATCACATAATCCTGTTTTAAATACAATATAATAAATGCATTGTTAACTTTCAAAGGTATGAATGAATGTTTCAGCAATTCATTCAACAATGAATTGCTCTGAAATAAAAAAAAAATTCTTTTAAATGCTTAACAGAAATGAAAGTCCTGTTCTTGCTCCTCCTCAGGGATCCCGACACCCCCCAAAAAGTGGAATATTCATTTGCTTTTGAAAAAGCAGAATTCTTGAAAAACAACAAACATACTTTTATTCATGTTGTGAATCTTCCTAGCAGTGTGTCACCATTTTTTGTTTATTAATCAGTGAGACTGTTATCATTGTAAAACTGGAAATATCAATAAATTTTTTAAAAAGATCACTGAGGTACTCATTCATGATTCTGTAAATTCTTCTTGGAAACCTGAGGTATCAGCAAGTTCTTCATCATCCTCATGCAACAGGCTCTTCTCCTGGATGAAGGAGGCTGGTATTAACATATTAGCTATTGTTTGCTCAAGACTCAACATCACTTGCTCTTTGCTTGCTGGATGTCAATTTTGTTGTTTCAATTTCCAGGTGTGTATGCAATATAGACTGCAGTGGGTACAGTTTTAATCCTGTCTGTGCTTCTGATGGAAGTTCTTATAACAACCCCTGTTTTGTTAGAGAAGCATCCTGTCTGAGGCAAGAGCAGATAGACATCAGGCATCTTGGACACTGCTCAGGTAGGTTTAATTTTATTTCTCCAACAAATGTAAATTCAGAATATAAATAGGCTTGTTAAAGCTTTTCCATTTTTAATTAGAATTGGCTGATCCAGCTATCAGTGAACTGTATTTTAGTTCTCCTCACTATCAGTGAACTCACCATCTGTATTTTAGTTTTCCCCACATAGATGTATGTTTACACTCCATATATATGATGTGGTATGCTTCCATTAACTTTTCTTCTTCTGGCTGCTATTACCTGAAAAGACAACAAAAGGTCATAGGAGAATGTAAGCAATATCCCTACATTAGGGTACTGTTAGAAGTAGGAAAGAAAAGGGAATACTGGAATGTGGAAAATGCTTACTGTTGCTACTGGAGACTGTAAAATATAATTGCAAGGTGAGTAAAGTTGGGCCTCAGTTGCACTGCTGTTTATCCATTCCCTTTTCCAGTGCTGGAAAGGTGCACCAAAACTGCCATGTGTGCTGTTGATCATAGAATCATAGAATGGTTTGGGTTGGAAGGAATCTTTAAGGGACCTTTAGCCTGGCCTTAAATGCTTCCAGGCAGGGGGCATCCACAGTTTTGGAGTCTTGGTTTCAATCAGATCAAGGTGAATTGCCTATAGGACCTTCCTGTTGTAATAACAGCTGTTCACCATCCCTTTGCTGGTTACAAAATCTGTAATTTGAATAGTTTGAAAAAGAATATATATATCTCAACCAAAATAACTTAGGCTCATATAATGGAAGATATTTAAGTTCAAAATCTCAGTCTGAGGTGAGCCCTGTGTTAGGCTAGAGTCTGGAATTACTGACTCTACATGCTCCTGCCATGGTTGGATGGGAGGAACAATATGGGAGTGTGTGTGCTTGTACTGCACTTTTTTCTTTGACTATTATTCTCAATGATGTGTATGCAGTGGCTTGGAATTAAGCTTTTCCTAATAGCTATCCATGCATGTATTTATCATCTAGAAGCAGATGACACAAACGCAGTTGGAAAGAAAGACGACGGCATGCAGTACCGGCCAGAGGTGAAAGGTATCGTGCTGGCTTTGTGCTGTTTGGTTATGGTTTCCCAAGATGAGAAAAGACAGTGAGCAGGTCCTTTCTCATCTGCTTGCAGCTTTGATTTCTGTAGCCAAAACAGACCTGTGAACAGCTTCTTTCTTGCAGCACTGTCATTGTAAGGCTGGCATGAAGTAGATGTGCAGGATTTGTGAATTTTGCCTTGCCGTATTCTTTTAAGATGCTCAGCTGCTCATCACCCCTCCTCAACAGTCACAGGATTAGACCCCTGCCAAGTGCTGTGAAAATGCCTTTACTGCAAGATATCAAGCTGTGAGATAACAGATGAAATTACACAAGCCCCCTGCAATCCCCTCTTTTCTGAAAACATCTGCCAAAAAAGTGCAGATTCTGTATTTGGTCATTTTAATATCTTTTATGTAAACCAAAATGCTAAATCACATTGGTTGGAAACGTTTTACCTATATGAATTAATTCCTTAGTATAAACAAAAGAAGATAGAGTTTCACTTTCTGCTCAATTATTTTATGTGTCAGCACCTCATTTTTTCTCAGAACAAATGCTCATGGCTCTTGCTCAAAGTGTTGCTGTCCAGGAAAAACACCTGGCTTTCTCAGAGCAGATCTGCATAGGTGATAACCTTGCCTCCTCTTCTCTCACAAGTAATAGCAGTTTTACCTTCTCTGTTAGCTCTGACCTTTAATTTTTTTCTGTCATTACACTTGTTTTGCACTCCCATGGCCACCCGCAATAAAAGCATTCAGCCATGCCTTTAGACATTCCCTGTGTTCATCTTGAAAACCCATTCATTGCTAAAAAGCTCTGTGCTTTTTTCCTTTTTCACAAATTCTTTTATTTTCATTCTTTTTAAGTACCAATTGGAATGATGTAATGTCAATATTCACTTACATTGTGGGGGCATAAAAGGGATGAAATGCAATATACATCTTATTATGTGATTGATAAAACACCACTTTTGGTTCGTATTTGGAAGAAGTTATAGTCTTTTATTCCTTGCCCATAAATTGTCCTTGAAATCAAGTAAATGGGAAGAGCACTGCATATAATAATTATGATTAAATATATAGTTTGTGCGGTCTCAAGTTCAGCAGATGATGTGCAAGAAGGGAATATGTTGTGCTAAAAAATAGTTCTAAGTTTTTTTTGTGTGGTAGTCAAGTTTTTTAGACAGCGAAAGCCTGAAGTGAAGTACTATGAATGACTTTTTCCTACAGGAGAAGAGAACAGGCTGCACTTCTATCTGTGTGCTTTGACTTTTGAGTCCTGTGCATCACTCTTGTTAAACCCTCTCCTCTGAATGTATAGTATCTCTCAGTCCTTAGAATCATGGCCAGGATGGTCTCCTCTTCCTATTGTATCTACCTAAAGTTAAATCAGAATGATCTCACTTCATTGGTGCAACTGGACTTCTGTTTTTGTCCTGCTAAGATGGACATCACTTTCAGTTGCTGTGCAGGCCTCTTCATTCTGGTAATGCATCTAATTTTTTTTTAATTGATCACTTTTTCTACACCAGTTAAATCTCTCACTTAGAAGTCTGGCTGGCCTCTCATGTTAAAAATTGATTCCCATCAATGGATGGATAAATGTCCATTTTACTTTGCTCAGCCCACGTTGTGTTTATGGCTTGAGCAGTTGTGGCTACTTGGCTGCCTTCCAGGGGATGCATCTGTCAGTGGGTCCCACTGTCTGCATTCATATATACAATAAGAACAGCACAGCCATCTGGACAGACCGATGTATGTAGCTTATTACTAACCCCTGATTGAGATAGATACAACAGTAATTAACTGCTTGGAGGAGGAGGGAGGTAACAATTTTGAGATGACACAATTTCCTCCTCTTGGACATACCACCATGTAGTCTATTCCAACAGAGGAGTATCAGGTGTATTGTCAACATAAGGCTATGTCTTCCACTTGTGTCAAGTCTTCTGTAACTTTGAAGAACAGCCTGAACAAATAGGCTTTCTTAGTAGGAAACCTAGAGACTTCTGAAACCTCTAATGTTAAGATAATTTTTTTCTTAATATTCCAGAAAATATTCAAGGGAAACCTAAAACAGCAGCATGCATTTCCTTTTTTTAATCTGTATATGAATGCATTCTCTTTCTTTTTGGTGTTATTTGAAATAATCGGTGATTGTGTAAGAGAATTCTTCTTCACAGTCCTTTTTTGCTTTGCACCTGCAGTTCATTATAATCTTGTGTTTGTGAAGCTATAGTCTATTGCCTAGAAATGAACATAATTCCACAAGTACAACCACATCTTTTGATCCCTGCACTTTAGAAAAGTTCATTACAAAAGACCAACTTCTGTATTTCAGACTTCTTTACAGAACAATTTTTTGGGGAAATGGTATAAAATGTATGCAGGTTTTGATAGTGACAGATGCAGGAGGTCTTGGGCAGAAGGGACTGCCCTCCTCTGCTGGGCTGCTTTGGCCAGCAGCTAAGCACCCACCAGTTGCTCATTCACCTACTCTATTCCCTCAGGAGAACAGGGGAGAAAATTGGAAGAGCAAAAGTGAGGAAAAAAATAATTGCTCAAGGTAAAAATAGTTTAATAGATGAAGGAGAAAAAAAGAATAAAGCAAGCGATACAAAGACCATCACTCATAATCTCCCACAAGCTGACCAGTACCACCAATCTCTGAACAACTGCCACTTTGGGAAGGAAGACCAAAACCCCTAGTTCTGTTGCTGAGTATGAAATCCTGAATATCTTTTTGTACGCTTCGGGACAGTTGTCCCTTCCAAAGCTCTTGAACACCCCCAGGTTGCTCAAAGGGAGCAGAGGGATGAGCAGGACAAAGCCTGTTGGCTCTGCAAGCTTCCTTCAGCAACAGCCAATACTGGCTTGTTATCAACACTTTTTCAACTATAAATTCAAAACCCAGAACTATAGGGGCTGTGGTGATGAAAGAGTTAGCTCCATTCCAGCCAGAATCATTACACTTTCCAAAAGAATTGGTATTTTGAGCTCATTGCAGTATTTTGAGGTTCCTACTCTGAAAAGGAGTTTCTGTAGGAAGACTAGGAAGACAGCTGTTGTAATGTGTTTGATTTCAACTGTAATGACTGCTGATACCAGTCAGAACAGAATTTTCTACCCAGTAAGTATAAAATGTGCTTTAGTTTCTTTCCAACCCTTCAGATCTTCTGTTTAGACATAGGAGTGGGCTTTATGTATCTATGTGTTTGCTCCATGCTACAGTGACACTGACAAAACTTCTGATCTTACCTCACTTGGTTGTTTCTATCAGAAATACTTTTCTCCTTTCAAGAAAGCTCACATAAGAAGAATGTTAGGATATTTCTGAGGATCATTTTTCAGTGTGATGCATCCTACCAAATAACAGCAGGTGTTTATGAAACTTCACCCTTAAGCCTTTGCTTCACTGTTCTGCATTTCTTTACTCACCATCAGTCTTTCAGGGCGTTCCTCAACTATTCTTGCTTGAGACTTTTTAATAATACTGTACAGCATTTATATTTTTTATGTATCTTTTTTTTTTTTTTTTAAGATGCCAGTGATCAAAGAGAAGACATTTACATTGGTAACCACATACCTTGTTCAGAAAGCTTTAATGGCTACTGCATACATGGAAAATGTGAATTCATTTATTCCACTCAGAAGGCTTCCTGCCGGTAAGTCCTGAACGCCTCCAAAATATGCTTGAAATTGCCATAAGGCTTAATCAGAATGTTCCTTAGCCATAATTACAGCATGTATCCGTTTGCAGTTACTTAAGCAGTGGCACAGAAGCCACATGCCTGGGCTGTGGGCAGCACACAGCTGCAGTGGTCACGCAGAAGCCAGTGTTCAGAGGAAGGACTCAGCTGCTCATATGCAAGGTGGTTCAGAAGCTGAATCCCTCTGAAGACTCTGGCCTTAGTGTTGGCTCCTTGTTTTCAGCTGGTAGATCTTGTCAAGAGAAAAGCAGAACCTAGAAACCACTGCCTGTTCCTTGCATGGTTTTTCTGTCTGACTGCAATTGCCCTATTGATCTCTAAATCTGTTCTCGTGTTATCTATACATCTTATTGCTCTTGGCATAAATTCTCTGGAGTATCAATGTTATTTTTAATATTTATTGCCTCACAATTTTTAATATTTATTGCATCACAATTATATTTATTACTTCACAATAGTATGTTTTATTTAGAGCATAAATTGCAAAATATTCTTTATCCACATTTTTTGTCTGCAGCATTATTTAACAGCTCAGTATTAAGCTACTGTTACCCAAGAAATGTGAACTTTTTATTTCTTTAGCTACCAAGTATTTTTTTTCTCTAAGTGTCACTAAATTCTATGTCTCTTTTTCTTTAAAAATTAGGAAATCATTTAAAAATGTGTTTCAGAAAATGGCTACATCTTAATAACATGTAGTGCCTTACTTATTTGGAGTTTTCACTCCTGAATTTTATCTCGCAAATTTGTACTTCCAGAATAATGTAGCGGAAGGTGCTATTACTCTTTGCTATTTATCCTTAGCTTTGGAAACTTCAGCTATAAATCCATCAGATCTTATACTTTCTCCCTTGATCTTTATCAAGTGAGGCGTTTCTTCACTACCAACATGTAAGGGTTTCCAGACTGACTAGAGAGCAGGAAGCCCAAAAAGAAGAGCCAATACAGACGTTGGCTTAGCCAATTGAAAGCTTGTATTCCTTTACCCACCTGAGACACGTTCTTGTTTTCAACTCTCTGATAGGATTGTATTTGTTTTTCTCTTTTCTTTGGCCAAAACCAAGAGAGGATAACATGCTTTGGTTTTTCTTGGGAATCTGGTTGCATCCCCAGCATTGTCTTGGTGGGCAGCAGTTTTTGAGTACAGTGTTCTTTTGATCCAGAGTTGTGTTTATTACAATTTATTATGGATTTATCTGCAAAATATTCAAGTTAGTGTTGTTTCAAAAAAACCATTCCGAATGAACTGACTTTTTTAATTTCTCAGTTTTATTCTGGTTAGCGCTATTATAAATAGTCATTTATTTATTTATAATTCAATTACTATTCAATTGTTTAAATATTTATTGTTAATCTGAAGTACAGATAATGAAGTCTTAATGCTTTTGATTAATATACTGCCTCTTTAAATTCTATTTTATAATTACCTTTAGTATTACTACTATTGCTTATTTATTTAAATGGTTGATTATTTAAGCTGAAATAGTCTCAGCACTTGGCGCAGCACAGCAAACCTCACAGGGTTCCAGTCAAGAATTTCTGACTGTCAGTTTTCGGCCTGAAGCACCAAATGTCCTTTGGACTTGTTTGGCTATTTAAATACTCACGGTCCTTATTTCCAAAGAGTGGTGTGTGAGATGTACCAGATGACCTACAGAACTGCTGAAAATACCTATTCAGAGCAAATCTGATTTATGCTGTCACTGAGTACAATGAATCGCTATGCTCACCGTACAGCAGCCCTCCAGAACTGCCATCAGGTGGACTGGAGGAAGGCTTTGTAGTAGTAAATTGCACAATACTCAATTTAGTAGCTTTTGCACAACTGGGATCTGATCTGTCTCCTGCTGCCTCCCTGGTGCAGTGCAGTTGTGCCCTTATGGCAGGCTGCATCAGGAAGGCAGAGTTCATCCCCTGCAGAGGAATCTAATCTTCGTTTCACTAACTCCATTAATTGACTGATCAGCATAGTCTGATGAATCCTCACTGACCTATGTTTATCATGCTTTATATTAATGCAGAAGAATGCCTTAAAATCTGTTCTGCCCATTTACCAGGCAGCTTAAACTATTGCCTACTACTTCACCCACACTACCAACACAATTCTTAACACAAACAGTTCTGCTTTGCAGGAATTCAATAGTGCTAAATCTCCATTCAGTATTTCTTAGAAATAATTTCCTGCCACTTCAGTGTTTCACAGCAAATGTTTTTGAATTACTTGTGCTTCCTTTGCTTTGTTTTGCCTCATGCTGTAAAGCAATTCTCACATTGATCACCATTTGGCTGTTGTTATCTTCTTTAATAAAAATAAAAGCAAAGTCACAAAGAAGAATTCAATCCTCTTCACTTGCACAAAGGCCACTTTCTTCTTGTTTCTTCTTACGTGATCAACAGTGTTCCCTCTCCTCTTACTTCTTGTATGCTATCACGTTTCTCCCAATTCCTTTCCAATCTTTAGCCATTACCAGGCTTACTTACAATATGCTGAGGCTTTTCTTTAATAGCTCTGCTGTTACTGGAACTTATTTCATGCCTGAACGTAAGTATCTTACACAGCTGCTCGTGGCTGGAGATATGAATATGAAAACCCCAGCAGTTATCTCTGCACACAAAGGGAGTTTAGGAGCCACCTAAGCAGTTGCAGGAAGGTCTAGGAAATAATCATTTTGTCCCTCCAAACAGAATTCACACTTAACCCTAGCACAACGCTTTTGTATGGATGAGACCAAGTCTGTGTTGTATCCAGTTTACAGAAGAAGTGGTTTTGTTCCTGTGGCAGTAATTCTGCAGCTTTCTACTGTATCCTTAATGATGTGCTCTCATCAGTTGATTTTAAAGGATAGCTGTACAAGGAACTTGTTACTCCTGCGCTTGTTAGTGGTCCTTTAAAACAAGCACTCATGGATTCATACTTCAACCTGAAGGCTGACGGTTTTCAGTAGTTCTTCCCACCTACACTGACAAGAAGAGGAGGGATTAAAATCCCTTGCCCAGGGATGTGTATTTGGTAGCCCTGCAGGCTCCAGCACTTCCTGTGGTGCTGGGTTAGATTTTTCCTTTCCTTTTTGAGCTTCAGCCTCTCTCTTCTTGCAACATGCGGTGCTCCTGGGTACTCTGTCATTGCCACCTTCACTACTGGCAAACCTCACTGTCACTGCACAAATGTGTCATTGATTGGGAGCAGCCTCTGCTGAGTTTCTCACTGAGCTAGTTGCTGGTTTGCTTAGGCAAGATACCATTTAGAGCAGCTGCTTCTCTTTGCTCTGGCCAACTTTCATGGCTTCTTCCACAAAGTCTCACATAAACAGTCAGGGGTTATCAGGTTTTTTCCCATTAGCGTCCTGTAAGGGAGCTCAGTTTCCCCCCAGGCGATTGTGAGAGTCATCTGGATGAGCTGCCAGCTGTGAGTCTCCTTGACTTCTCTGCACTATCAGCAAGAGAGATTACCTGACCTCTGTGAAGCGCATTTGCCCTGAAATTCCTGGTGGCTCAGGGTAAGAGGTTGATAGTGAAGAGAAAAATTGGAAAAGACTGTAGTTTGGAGACATGGCAGGTGGGGTCTTGAAGCTGCTCTTGTCCAATAGTTTTTGCAGGATTCCACATCAGTAACCTGCAGCTTGAAAGGGCATTTTCCTTTTTCCCTGTTTGATCAAGGTTTTTCTTCCTTCTCTATACTCCATGCTCATCTTGACATTGCTGCCGAGTTCCTTGAGCGTACTGCTTTGTGTCTCATCTGGTCTATTTTCTTTTTTCATCTACTTGCTTTATTTTTCCTAAAAATTGCCCTAACTTAACCACCCCACATACTTCTTTTGCCCAACCAGGTCTCTCACTATCCAGGACAGAAGAGACAGACTACGTTTTCTGCCTCTCCTCTTGTCCCAGAAATCCAAACCTTTCTCCAATTCAGGCACTACCATATCTCCACCTTCTCCCCAGCTCTTTCTCAGCAACCATCCAAACCTCTTCACTCATTCACAGAACAGGCAGAATCTCAGCTCTTTTGTGTGCTTCTGCTCTCTAAATTTCATTTTAGGCTTCAAAAAGTGATGTGTCCTGAGCTCCTGCAGCAGCAGTGATAGCACTGATGAGGCTGTTTCTCTCCTGCTGTCACTGATGTGAGTACTGGGCTTTTTCATCCCAAGTCTTGGACTCCTTCTTTCAATCACAAAATGACTGGACTGCTGTCAAAATACGTATTCCATTAAATGTTCCTTTTCTTTTTCAGGTGTGAATCAGGATATACTGGACAGCACTGTGAAAAGACAGACTTTAGTATTCTTTATGTTGTCCCAAGTAGACAAAAGCTTACGCATGTCCTTATTGCAGCAATAATTGGAGCCGTACAGATTGCCATTATAGTTGCAATTGTCATGTGCATAACAAGGTGGGTAAAAGCCAAAGGAGTGAAAAATTACACATTGTACTTATACACTTTTTCTATATTTAAATCTTTTCCCCTCCGGATTTTTATGTGCATTAACAAGTACTCTCAAATACTCACATAAAAGATACCTATTACTCTTTTTGTCACAAAATACACATTCATTTCAATTTGCAAACCACCTGCATCCTCTCTGAATCCCCAGAACAGCTACGCATGAGAGGAGATCAGCCTTGAAACATTCAGAAGGTCAGCTATTGTGTTAGACCTTCATGGAGTTATTCAAGCTTTGATGTTATCTTATAGAAGATATGGTTCCCCATCCCTCTCCCCCCACCCCCCCACCCTGCTGAAACCAGAGAGGTTGACATGTTGCTGTTTTCCTGCAGTTCAGCTATAAATAATGTTATATCTTGCATTGCCCAGTCTCCAGTGGGCTGACTAAGTCCTTTCTTGGTCAGAATTGCTGTTTTTTTTATAATGCTTTCTTAGATGTGTATCCATCTCCAGGAAAGGGATGAGAGGTGGCCTCTGCCTGGGGAGTTCCAACAAGCAGCAGAGTACCTGGAGGTCCAGCACTGCAAGGGCCAATTGATCCAGTCTTAACACCCCCTGGATTTTAAATATGAAATTGTAAAAAGTAAAGCCAATACAGCTATTTACCATAATACATGCATTTGTCAATCAAGGTTGAAGGGCATAGCACCTTGCTGGTTTGGTTCTCAAGTTAAGCAGAATTCTTTTCTCAGTGGGATTTTAAGTGTCCCACGTAAATCCACAACCATCAGCCAGGTACCAAACAGCATGAATGTCCACTCAGCCAGCACAGTTCCTACACTCTTTGGTGTTGTTAAGTCAATTCACTATTGCTAGGTTTAAATTTATATGGTATATATTAAAGCATTTGTCCTTTTTTCTTTCTTTCTTTTTTATTTTTTTTTAAACAGAAAATGCCCCAAAAACAATAGAGGACGTCGGCAGAAGCAAAACCTAGGCCATTTTACTTCAGATACATCATCCAGAATGGTTTAACTTAGTGATTTTTATACCTACATTGACCATGTGATGTACATTTTTATTATATCTTTTTTTAAAGAATGGAAATATTTATTTCAGAGGCCTTATTTTTGAACATTTTTAGTGTAACAATGTTGGTCTGTATTCTGAAAGCATCAGCTCTAACAGCTATGGACTGTTTTAGTACCTTTACTTTTCTGTTTTTGAATACAGTAGTTCATTTTCTGTATCTGTATCACATGGTTATATAATAGACTTGTGCTTTATTCATGGAATGTAATATTTTTGGGAACACAGATTTATTCCACCAATGGTTGTAGATTTAAAAGGGAACAAAACAAACAAACAAACAAACAAACAAACACAAAACAACCAACAATAAAAAGTCCACATTACCTAGCAAACAAGGCATGAACTAAAGGTAAAAATGTTTACAGCTTACTTTTCTTATGAGAAACTAGAAAACACTGTGTTTAAATACCGTAGATATTTAAATGTTTTTGGAAGTTAGTAACTGATTTTTTAGACACTGCCTATCGCATGAACTGTGAAGCTGTGTGCTGTGTGTAGTTGTAACATATTTATGAAACGTGTGGGCTGGGTCAAAGCACTGCCATCTTCATTAATGATTCCGACAATTTATTTTTAAAGGGCAAAATTATGAATTTCTTAATTTGGGAAGTTGCCTGGTAGAGCAGATGGCACAGGTCCAAAAGAAGTAGGTCTTGGTAGATTTAGGGGTTGTAAAGGTTGGTGTTGAATAATTGAACACAAATAATTGGAATAAAGCCTACTTTATCACAATTGAAGCTGTTTTAATACTTCTTAAACTTTTTTAAAGAAAATACATGTTTTAACACCTACGATGCAGATTGTATAGTGTTTGTGATTCAAATAAAATAAATAATAATTTAAAAAAAAAACAACAAAAAGAGCAAATAAAAGTGAATGAGTTACTAGTGCTCTTGTATAGAGTATTTTCAAGAGCTAAGAAAGTCCATCCAAGTTAGTCTGCTGGTCATAGTTATATTAATAGACTGTTAGTTGTTGTTCGAGAGATCCAGAGATAAAGTGTGAATAGGACGTGTTCAGCTGTTTTAACATGTAGTTTAGGCTTTCAGAATTTTGCATGTAGGATTTAATAATTTGTTCAATTAAAAAAAAAAAAAAAAAAGCTTTCAACATTTTGAACTGGAAAAGCATGTCACAATACAGCGTTTTCACTATATTGCCTCCGGTTTAGTGTGTTTATTTGTTACCTCACGTGGCAATTGCAGCCAGCTGAAGAGCTGAAGTTTGTTTTGCTCCAAAAACAGCCAGTGCTCATTTTCCAGAGTGCTGTTTGAATTCCATCAGTGCAAGTGCTTCAGGAACACAAAAACAACAGTAGATCATTTAAAATATGCGAGTTTGCTCGCCTGCTTAGTTGGTAAGTTACTTAACTTCCCTGGATTAACACTAATAACTTCATCAGCACAGAAGCGTGACCCTTTAAAAGTGTGCTCCTTTCCAGACATTGCTTCCTAATTTTAGAGGTTTCATGTTGCTGAAAGCATCTGAGCCATCGTGTGTGGACATTTGGTGTGCAGAAGCATCTGACCCACCTCCAGGAGCGGCGTTCCACTCCCACCCTTCAGCATGGCCGAGGCCGCCTGTCACACCGGCTGCCTGCAGTAGTGGTTGCAGGGCATTCAGACGAAAGGCTCCTGCCAAAGAGAGGCAAAATGGAGCGCCGGGAGATCACTCTGGAGGCTGACAGACTCCACCAAAACCGCCTGTCGAGCGTCACTGAGGACGAGGAAGAGCAGGACGCGGCATACACCATCGTGACGGTCCTGGACAAAGTGGCCAACATCGTGGACAGCGTGCAGGCGAGCCAGAAGAGAATAGAAGAGAGGCACAGAGAGATGGAAAATGCCATCAAGACCATACAGATTGATATCTTAAAGCTTGCCCAGGCTCACGGCAACACTGGCTACACAGTAAACAAGCTGCTGGAGAAAACCCACAAGGTCAGCTCCACCATGAAGGAAGTGCGTGCGCGGGTGGAAAGGCAGAGCGCCAATGTACGGAAGGTGCAGACAAAGCAAGAGGAGATGCTGAGGAAAAACAAATTCCGGGTTGTGATCTATCAGGTAACCAAAACCTGTCTGTCATAACCATTGCTGTGCTATGTTTGTGCCACCTCCTTGGTAGCTGTGAGTAGGCACCATATGGTGAACCAAAAGGTGCAGCCTGTCCAGCAGAAGTGTGGCTTTATGCTTTCTTCAGCTCTGAGCTCCACTTCTCCATGCCTTTCAGCAGAGCCCACGGGAGGCTGGAGGCTGTGCGTGCAGTCTATTATTAGTGTTGGTGGGTTTCAGAGCCAGTAGTGTAAGATTAACTGCAGATCAGCAAGGACTATTTGTTGCCTCTCTGAAAGGTAATATGAGGCAGGCCCTGTAAATCTTGTCATACAAACCATGCCTGACATTCATCTCTCATATTTTTTTCACCATATTAGGTAGAAGTCCAAATAACAAATTGTTTGTAAGCTCTCAGGTACAGTGTCTTTCTTTTAACAATTTTAAAACATATGGTGTATTTAACTTGCAGTGTTACCCAAGCTTTTGCTTGGGGACTTCCTTCATTGTCTCAGTCTGCAGCACTGTGTGCATAAACTCAGAACCACAGTGTCTTCCTTGCAGCAAATAGTTCCTTGCATTGCTATCCTTGGCAATGCTTTCCCACAGCACGGTTCTTCCAATCATGCTTGGTGAGTGAATTATACACTCTTTCATCATTCTTCATTCCAGGATGTTCTCTGTTCTTACAAATGATAGTATTTGAGGAGGAGTTTCATAAAATGGCAGGCTTTTGCTGACACCCATACACAGAGCCCTTAGTGCAGCCAGTTCATGGGATCTGTCACTGACAAGCAAGTGCTGTGAAACTCATTTGTTTAATGGCCTGATCCTTCATTTGCTGAAACTTCCCAGTTTCTCAACAGAAAGTGCGAGTGTTTTATCTTTTGCCAGAAGCATAGCTTCTCCTTCATTCCAGTGAATCCCCAAAGCTTCTTTCAAAACAAGTCCTATTCATCATTAGGCAGTCTTGAGAATGTCAGCCATTCTGAGTAACATGATGTGCTCCCATTGCCTTGTCTTGAACCCTGATTTTCTAACTATTTGTTCATAAATAACATTATTTGCACAAATGGGTCCACTTGTTTCAGTGAGTATATTCACCAGCATATATAGCTGATAAATTATTATGCATAACCCAGCTTTCTTAACTATTTTATTTTCCAGTTCTGGGAAGAAATAGCTTTTTTAAAAAAAAGTAAAAGCTGAAGGTAGGCATTCTTTAATGTAATGTTAGTAACATATGCAGCCAAATTGTGCCTCCCAGCTTTTCTGACTGAATTACTTACTGTGGCTGCACAGAAGAAAGTGTGGGCAGAATTCAGCCAATTATTACAATTATTGCAAGCTGCACTATCATGATGGAATAGCAAACAGGCAATTCTGCTTTTTCCTTGCATATCTTTTCTCATCTAAAGATAATAAATATCTTTGACTTTCCTGATTAATGGCATAGTGCCATTTCATCGATAGCCCTTTATCATAATTATTGCAGTAAAGTTGATGCTTTGAAAATGTTTGTTCTTAAAACAGTATTCATGACATAATACAATTTTTACCCCTGAAAACCTGAGTTATCACTTATTATTCATTACGTATAGTAAAATGTTATGGAAATAGATTTACACATAGCTGTAAAGAACAACTGTTGCTATTTTTAGACCTGTCACATCAAAGGCAGCTCTCACCATGTGTACTTTCTGTGATAATCACCTTCAGTGGAGTCTCTGGACTCTTTGCTTATTTTGCTGGACAAGAACAACCTGCACCGTGTTCCATACGTTTAACCCTCAGTTGGAACTTTTCAGAAATGCAAACAGAATTTAGGATTTGTCTCTTTCTAGTTTTCCATTTCTGTGGTAGTTAAGGACTGGTTGAGCACATGAATTACTTCCTCTGTGACTTCCATCCTTTTCATAAGGTGAACTGAAGAAACCTTTCCCCTCATGCACAGCAGAGGAGCACTATATGCTGCTATCTTTGCAGTCTGACATTTAACACTTTCCTGGAGGAGGAGAACTGTTTTGCTCACAAAAGCAAGGTATTCCAACGTGATGGAGTTTTAATGCCCAACACACTCCTGAAAGCCTCTTTCACACAAGCGTAGTCATTTTCACACTGTTGATTTACACCGGTGTAAGCGCACTGTTGCATTGCCAAGACCTGAATGACTGAAGCTTGGCTACCATGAGGGGAAGTCTGCTAATAGCTGGTGAGTCAGTGTGGGGCACCCACTCCCTTCCCTGTATTTTACAAATAGATGGAACCAAGTTGTTTACTTGGAGGTTGTGAGTGACAGCTCTTCTGTAGTGGCATTTTTTTTTTATGAGCCATTTGGGACGCTGTGGTGGAGCCAGTGACCCATGTGTAGCTACAGTGGAATGCTCCTGTGGATTTTAGTTTTAACTTGTGCCAGAACATCGGCCTATGAGGAAAAAGGAAACACCAATTAAATCCTAAAGATTTTCTTTCAAGTGGATGGCTTTGATCACATCATTGATGGAAGGAGCAGGCAGGTTGAAAAGGATCGTTGGCTGGAGGAGATTCCCAAGAGACCTCGGCCATGATGAAAAGATTTGGCAAATATCCTCACATTTAAAAGAGACAAAATGATCATCCGTGAGGATAATGATTAGGAGAAAGTGAGCATTCGTTTTTAAAAGGCCAGGCAGTTGAGGACAAGATTTATTGGCAGGCAGTTTTCCTGTCCAGGTTGATGGCACCATTAAAACTGCCAGGTTACGTCAGACTTTCTAGAGATGTCTTTGACTCCAGTGTGCCAGCTGTCCTCACAGTATAACGAGATACACAGAGTACATTATAGGTTGTACAGGTCTCTGTTCACCTCTGTTCATGTTATTCTGAATAACCAGCTGTGAGAGCTGTCATTTCTCTTCAGTCAAAGAGCACCTCACAATTTGTTTCATTCTGACTAAATTATTCAGAAATAGCTAATTTCTGAATAATTTTAATCCTGAAAGAACTTGCTTCATTTACTTTCTCTCATGTTCTGCATGTTCCTCTCCGAATCTGAATGTGCAGCCTCCAGGAAGCCCATGTTACAGCAACTGGTCTTCAGAACAGCATCCCCTGAAGGGACTGCCCCACTGCAGGTTTGGTGAGAGGCCAGCAGATGAAGCCTTGTGTGGAACACTCATATTATACATAAACAGATTAAAATAGAAAGGTATTCCTGGCCTCTGTCATTTTGCTGCATGATTATCTGGACATTAAAAATAGTGAACTTGAAATGGGGACAATAATCTGAAAATCTGAAGTGGAAGCACTTCCATATGCATTAGGGGTGTATCAAGCTCAAGGAGTGAGGCTGCAAACATAGGCTCTGTTGGACCTGCTGCATAAAAGCACCCTCTGTCAGTACGCAGTTTCAATTATGCCTATGCTGAGAAAAACCTGAGGGTCAGCGTGACTGAAAAGGTAGAGAATATAATGCTTCTATTTAAAAAAGACAAAAGAAACAACTGCCATTCATCTGATGTCATTTGGGCATGAGAAGGGCAGACTTAGGAGAGGCTCTAGGCAGCTGTCTGCAGAACAAAACCATTAGCTCCATGGGGCTAAATAGCTCACCAAGAACAGACTGTTCTAGGTAACCCATTTGTGATTATTTTTATGTGTTACAGAAACATGGCAGAGCTTATCCTTTTTCCTGTTTTTGTATCTGATGTCTTAGCTCTTAATAGACAATCTGGAAAAAGAACAAATAGCAGTGGACTGTTTTGTGGGACGCATGGTTTGTAAAAGGTTTTAGGAGAGTTTGCTTTTCAGACATCGCTGTCAACTGTATGCTACTTTTGTAAATGATCTTGGCACAGAATGTGATGCAGTTGCTAATAAAATATGCTTAAAATGATGACCTGTCAGTCCAGAGAAAAAAATACAGAAAAGAAAGCAAATTATCTTTAAAGCTAGAGCAGTGGTAATTGAATTGTGCACAGTCAGCTCCGCTACTTAGCAGAAGCTCTTGCTGATAGTTTGACTTCATAGGCCCCATAGTTGGGAAGGACATAAAAGGATATATTCATTTCTCAAAAGATGTTTGGGGGTTTGTTGCCATTCATACAGCTGAGGGAACTGGGATTGTTTCAACTGGAGAAGAGGAGACTCAGAGGAGACCTTAGCACCTCTGTGATGACCTGGACAGGAGGTTGTGGTGAGGTGGGAGTCAGCCTTTTCTACAGGATAACAGTGCTAGGATGAGAGGCAATGGCCTCAATTTGCATCAGGGGAGGTTCAGGTTGGATATTAGGAAAAAATTTTTTCTCCAGAAGAGCGGTGAGGCACTTGAAATGGGCTGCCCAGGGAGGTGGGGGTGTTTGTGAATTGTGTGGATGTGGTACTGAGTGACATGGTCAGTGGACATGGTAAGGGTGGACTGGTGGTTAGACTTGATAATCTTAGTGGTCCTTTCCAATCAGAATCATTCTATGATTCTATGCATGTGCTGGGACAGGGATGAGGAGTACAGTAAAGAACGCTGGCAAAAAGATGAAGTGGCTGTAAATTGAATGAGTAGAAACCAGGGATGGACTCTTTGTGCTGGAGACATAAGAGCCTGGTCTTCTGCTTGACTCCACAGGGAGAGGGGATGAACTCTGTATGTAACCTCTTGCTATCAAAAATGGAGCATGAAAACTTAATGAACAAGAGATAGCATGAGTTGACTAATTGTGCTTGCCAAGCCTCAACACAGAGGGCCTTTATTCAAGATTTGTGGCGTATATAAATATATTTTTACAGCTGAAACAGGTAATTGCCTTGGCTGAAATTATAGAGAATAAGAAAAACCCAGCAGTTGTGTCAAAGAGTGTAGAAAGTCCTTTGTTTCCAGTGTGGGATTCAGCCTTTCAGGTCAGAGCTCTGGGCCACCCTGTGCCATGCAGCTAACAGCCAGGCTGGTAGAGCAGAGCCAGTGCTAAACACTGGGGGAAGATCATAAATCACCTGTGATTTTGAGGGGGAAAAATCAACCATGCTCAACCAGCTAAAGG